AGCTTGGCTAACGGGTAACCCTCCTTTCCTGGGTAACCCGCCTTCATCTGGTAACCCGCCTTCATCTTAATTAAAAACGGGATGTGTGGCTCATAATTCTTGAAAACAAAGAATAGTTTCTGGTTTTATGTTGTTGCCTAGAGTACGCAAACTGTTCTTATAGGTCTAAGGACGAATATTTGCCTAAATTCCTAGTATTTTTCTGGTTAATTTGAAACAAGCCAAAATATCGTAATCATTCACTACGACTCTACCAAATAAAACCTTAAGATTAATTGATAGTAGGAATAACCATCTTTGAAATGAGACAGTGAATCAGCAAAATTATTCTTTAATAAAACCTGTTTGTTCAGACTGTTTCATCTGTAGCACGATGATGCTGTTCTTTTATGTATCGAATTAACTGGAACGGACGGCAAATTGTAAAAATGCCAAACCTATGACTCGAAAACTATCCTCTTCGAATGAGTATAACATAAGAAGTGATTAACCTCCGGAAATATTAACCGAATTTCCGAAGTAGACTTTGGATTGGGAAAAATTACTTCAATAGGGTTCTTCTACAAATTATCTTACAAGCTAATGCCAAGATATTTCGGGCACATCAGGATGCCAATTTTGGAACGCCCCTTTAGCAACCCACAAAATCCACAATTGGTATAAAATGACGACTAATTTCTGATCTTCGATACTTATGTAACTGCAAATGCATTTTATAGAATAACTAGTCAGAAATATCTTTTTCGGTACTCATTTGAAAGCCAACGACATTTTCTTCAAATTTTCTTATTAAGAAAAAATTATCTTATAGTTAAAAAGTTTTCAAATATACGACTTTTGAAGACCGTACAATGTCCACTCAAAGAGTATCGTATCCGCTCTTTCATTTATCTTCCTCATGAATTATGCAGCATAGTTCATATACCTTGCGAATGTCTGTGAACTCTTTATGTGTAGTATCTTTCGGATAGTATACAAGAATGAAGGCTTTATTTTACGGAAAGCAGATAGCTTGTAGACTGTTTATCCTAATGTTTAAATGCAACGGAGGTAGAACATATATGGTAATTCGGAAACTTTTTCTAAAACCGAAATATATCCCTCTTCTGAGTATACAATTGGAAGATATCGTGATTTACGACCAACGGTTTACGGAAAAGAATATCTTTTCTTAAGTTTTCTAGGAAGTTTATTTGAAATTATTAGGGCATTGAAAATCAATGGAAAAAGGCAGAATACTTAAGTAGTCATGTTCTAACGTGCGGTTTTTGCAGCAGACCGAAAAGCGTGCATTCAAAAGTCGGGATCCTAATACGTCTAAAATACCTTGGCATTAAGTTTAACGGCAATTGACGTTACGACGTCTCTGACGTAATACTTCCTAACTGGAAAAGTATTCCTGAAGTTGGGTTAACAGTTCATTAGACCGATCACTCACTGTACGTATGTGAGCGAATACGCGAGTAATAGGATATTGTTGCAAAGCAGATGAAGGCGCGAGCAGTGACCAGTAGCTCTGAGCTGTAGAACTCGTACAAGAGTTCAGCAACAAGTCAGGACGACGACTCAAGTCACAATTACTTGAACGCTAACAGGTCGTTCGGATAGATGACTCATTGTTTCAAGACGCTACTCACGCTGGAGGAAGGCCATGAGTTAGGCTTCGTGAGCAAGTGCCCACTAAGACACTTTGCACGGCCCATTTCGAGTCCAAGGGCGCGCGCCGTCATCACATCTTCAGCCCACTATGAGCTAGATGGCGTGAACTCGGTCCAGCTACGGTCACCACGGCCCCTTTCTCCCCCCGCTTCCCCACACCCTTATTTTTCGACTACAAGAATGACCTCAGCCCCCCTCCCACGTCTCACAGGCTAACATGAACTGCTATGCTGTGACAACTACCTCCCCCTACTCTAACCCCCTTACAATGCGCCCACATGTAAGACAATAGGTTCTACTCTATTTACCTATCAGGCTTCTCCCTCCTAGGTCGACACTTACTTGGACAGTTAATTTATCCTATTAGAAGGCACTGACCGTTTGCAATCGAAAAAGAGTTCGA